TTCCATATATGATCGGAAAGCTCTTGGAATTATCTTTCCAATGCTTCCAAGTTTGTGCGATTCCGAGTTCGTATGAGTAAGTTATTCCCTTTGGAAGTTGGGTTGTTAGATTAAGGAAAGTCCAAATTCGGATTTTTGAAGGGTAGTTTGGTCTTTTCCTTACCCTTTTATTTTAATTCATTTTTGGTAATTACTTAGGGGTCTAAACTGAACTTAGTTAGTTTATGCTTTTGGAAAAAGAGTTAGGGTTTTGAGAGAAGAGAAAAGAAGAGGAGAAAAGAGAAGAACGTTCAAGATTTGTCAAGATCGTCGAGTTTGGCTTGTGGATTTCGTCGGGGGTGATCCCTACAAGGTATGTGAGTCTTTCATAGCGTTGGGTTCATTCACCCACGCGCCAAACATGTTTAGTTCAGTGAAATTCGTCCTAAAAGAGCTTGAAAGTTGATGTTCTTGACATGTATTCTTGAATTTGAATGTCGTTCTTGAATTGGACTGAATTGAGGAGTTTTTGAGATCTTTGAGTCAAATTATAGATATGTTTTAAGTTAGGTTCTTAGGTACATATGTTGGGTATCTGAATCTAAAGAGTTTTTGAGAAAAATAGTCGAATTTAGGCGAATAAGGGCTGGAAAACGAAAAAGGAAAAGTCGAGCAGATTTTGGCACGTAAGTCCGCGTCGTGGACTTGCTCCCCCAGTGCATAAAAAGTTTCTCCGCGTCACGGTTAGGACGCAGACTCCTCTACCTCAAAATTTAATTTTGCGAGTAATTATTTAAAACACCTCCGCGTCGCGGACTTGTTCCAAGACGGTGATTTCGTGATTTTTCTCATGTTTAGCTATCTAGAATTATTCCTAAACATCATGAGATCTTTCCAGTCATAAATCATAATCCTTGAATCCATAATTCAATTCAAGGTTCAGTTAAGAGTCAAGTCAAGAGCAGTTAAGAATCAAAGTCAAGAGTCAAGTTAAGATAAGTCCTGAAAGTTTTCAAAAGTCTTTCACAAATGTTTTAACTTTGTTTTAAGACTTAAGTTTTGAGTTCAGTAAAGAGTAAAGTTGAAGTTCTGTTCTTCAAAGAAGTATATGGGGACTAAGTATTCCCAAAGAGATTTAAAATGTTTTTACATTTAAATTAGAACAGAAGCTGAGATTTCCAAGATAGCCTTTGATCTAAGTTTTTGAGCACTAATCTCAAATCACAGAAGAAGTATGATTTTAAATAAAAAGAGCTAATATAATATAATATTTTTGGGAGTAGTAATGAGCACTGATGGGAAGAGTTTATATAACTATCAGTCCCCTTAAACCATGTAGCCATCATGGGTAGAAAAGGGTCATACTTTTTAGATGAATCCTTTTCACATAGACAAGTGGATCCACTTAGTAATTCAAGTCCTATACCTTTGGCCAGGTATAGGATGCACTGGCAGCGTGAGGAAGATCGTTGTATCATCACAATAACTCTTATGTGATGGTTGTTAGTTAGAGAAACACCCATAGCAGTAATTGCATGGTTCCTCAAGGGGTTCTGCTTAGTATGAATGGGGGTATGAGACTTCATTCATGCATTGCACAAGTAGACTTTGAGAGGGAGCATGGTATGTCTTTTATGATATTATGATTATGAGTTGACATCATGTTTTAAACAGTTTTCTTTGTTTCTTTATGTTTGCACTTGTTTTAAACTGTTTTATAATGAAATGAGTTCAGTTAAGTATTCATGAGTTGAGAATAGCCAAAGTAAGTGTTTCTTCAGATTCTTTTTCAAGCCTATGTTGTTTTAGCATTCCAACTCGCATACTCGTACATTTAATGTATTGATGCCAGTTGGCATGCATCGTCTTATGATGAAGACACATGTAACTAGGATAGGCATCCAGCGCCCCGTTGATCCAGTTGGGCACTACAGAGTCAGTGGTGAGCCTCCTTGCATTTCGGAGGACTCATTTATTGCTTTTAGTTCTTTTCAGGATTTCATTTGTTAGGATGATTGGAGATCATGTCCCGACATCCATGATATCAGTTGTTTTAGAGGCTTCATAGATAGTCAGTCAGATGTTAGCTCATTCGTCATCATTTTGTTATTGACTTATGTTCAAATTTGAGTTGCCATTTTGGTCAAGTTAAATGTTTATTTTCAAAACATTAAGAGTTCAGTTTGAGACAGTTAAGTTGTTTAGCATTTGAATTCCTTTCTTATTGCATATAGTCTTCCGTTGAGTAAGTAAGTCAGGCCAAGGGTTCGCTTGGGGCCAGCAATGGTTCTCGAGTGTCGGCCACGTCCAGGGTGTAGGCTCGGGGCGTGACATAAAGAAATCATAAAATTAGTATTTTGTGTTAAATGGTACATAAAAGAAATAGAGTTGAAGGGTAATTTTTTATTATTTTTTTAAAAAAATACTTTTTTTTGTCTTTCACTCTCTTAGAGAAAGTGTGATGCACACACTCTGCCACATCACTTAGAAGTGCCAAAATGGAACATAAAAAATGGAGTTGAAGGGTTAAAATGGAACAAGGTTGAGTTGGAGTGCCCAAATGAAATTTAGGAACAAGTTTAAGAATCTGCATATGTGTTTGGCCAAATGTAATTTAACTTGATACAAAGTTACCCTATCTCTACTAGGTTTTTGACTCATTTATTTAGTTCATCATAGAAAATTGATTTATTTGTAAATATATTTTAAATGACGTGATTGTGTACAAATTTTATAGACAGATAATGCATAGAATTTAAACAAGTGTAATTAATTCACCATTTTTCTGCAAAAAATAACATTTTCCTTTTGTATGTCAGAAGGAACCTTAATGTATGGAAGGCTTGAGTCCGCGCTTGGTCCTTTATGTCCTCTTCCCAAAGATATGTATGGAGCCTTCTTTCAATGCTCTTTATTGGTTCATTCTACAAGTCACATCTATTTCTAAGGTAACAATATCTGATTTTAGTTCCTATAGCTTCTTGTTTTTTTAGGTGCAGGGAAAGAGACAAAGGCTAGTGAACTAGTGTCTAGCGCTAGGACCACCTCCACGAAATTGCATGACGCACAGTAGCGGAGTCAGAAATTTTAAAAATATCACACATGGAATTTAAATTACATGTGTCTTGAAGCAATTTTCTAGTCACATTTGCTTCTATATCAAGGGAATCAACAATTTATATATACATATAGTTTTACCTCATTTGCATAGTAATGTTATGATATTATTGTTAGGAATGAGATTCGAGTCACATATTGATTAATTGGGAAGTTCATGTGAGGTTTATATACTATTGGGCTCTCCCTATTTAATAGCTAGTTTTTGGGGTGTAATTTTCTTAAAATTGTATCAATGGTTTCGGTGTCCAGTGCACAACCGTCCAGGATGACGGATGCAGAGTGTGGTGGTTTGTTGTGATAATATTATACATAGATATGCCTCTTAACTTGGCTTTAGCTAACATTATTTATGCCCTCCAACTTTAGGTGTGCACAAGTATTACTTAAACTTGTATAAAATTAAACAAGTAGACACACGTGTCCGACATGACATAATACACGTAGGACAAATTTGTCTATTTGTTCAATTTTATATGTTTAAGCATCTACTTGTGCACACCCAAAATGAGAGGGCATAAATGTCAATTGAGGCCAAGTTAAAGAACATGTTTATGTATTATGCCTAATATTATTGTAAGGAACGAGACTTCAGTCCCGCATTGGTTAAATGGGGAGTTGATATGAGGCCTATATAGTCTTGGGCTCTTCCACTTTAATAGTTAGCTTTTGACGTGTTGTCCTCCTAACGTTGTATTAAATAGTATAATTTTGAGACGAAGGGATTTCAATTGTACTTTTTGGAGCATATAATAGCTCGACCATGCCTCCACCATCCAAAATTTATCAAAACCCTAGTAATATATACTTGGATGTTTAAGGCACATGGGACATGTGATATATTGACATTGATCATGATGGCAGGTCCAATGTGGTCGGAGCAATGACAGTTACAAGGCTTACGTACAATTCAGAAGCCCACTTGCATGAGACATATATATGTGTTTTATAAGCATATTGTCCCAAATTTGATCTTATAAATTATAGTGAAAAGGAATATATGGATCAATGGACATGCATGTGATTTGAGTCACAGATATTATTATTAATCAGTGATGTTAAAGTGATGACTCATGATGTAGTCATCTTAGTACAATCTTGATCATTATGAGTTATAATCAGCAGTTGCGGAGCTAGAAATTTCACGAAAATAGCATAACAATAGCTCTTTTTAAAAAGGAGAAGAAAAAATTATTGCTAGTGAGATTCGAACACCTCATTCAAGACATCTAAAACCCATCCAATGGGTCTGAAACCATTGGGCTACAACAACCTATAGTGTCAAAGGTGTCCAAAATGTGTTATTTAATCAGTTCGTACATTGTACTTGTATATATAGTTTTTTTTTAAAACGAAAGATGTCCAATTGGACACCCTGACATGCATGGGGCTCCGCCCCATTAACAAGTAACAAAAAGGGCCCTCTTCCACCTTCCCATGTTTGAAATAGTTAGGAGGTTACAAAAATTTCTAAGAGGTCTCAATATCAATCCCAGCAGATCCTCCTCCTCCCTCCATCCGACTTCTCACACAATATGGTAGTTTGTTAATGAGGACTGAAATATAAATTATACTCCCTCCGTTCTATTTTAACTATCATTTTAGCTTTTTTCACATCTATTAAGAAAAAAAACAAAGATAGGCTTATAACGTACTAATTAAGTCAACCCTATTTAGTAAATATAAAGGTAGACTAACTTTTCCTCTTAAATATTGTACATTACTTTTTTTAATATGTTGAGGGTATAGTTGCCGGTTGGGAATAATTGTCAACGTTAGTCTTGAATTACTATAGTAACAATTATTTTGGACAAACTTTTGTGAGGTAAGACGACAGTTAAAATAGGACGGATGAGTAGTATAATTTGTTGTTTGGTAGATGCGATAGTATGTCCAATAACCATAATAACTAACGTTTACATAATCAAATAGGAAAAAAAGAACAACATAATAGTAGCAACATTGATGAAGAAAGACAAGTGATCCAACTACCAAACCTCCAAAAGAAAACTTTTCTAGCTTTTAGGAAATAGCCACCCAAAATGGCTCCCAACATGATATCCCTTTATTCCTACTACCACGTGCTTTGCACCTTGTTGGTCTACTTGAATACTCTCCTAATTTACTACTGCCATTTTCTTCATCATTTTGGATTATTACATCTTCTTCTCCATGTCTACATTCGTCGTGTATTAACAACGAAAGCTTGAGCCTACCATTAGCACGTTCAACTCGAAAATTAGAGTTCCAAGAAGTGATTGATGTTGCTTTTAATAATAAACGACCACCTTCGCGATGAGGCCTAATTTGTACACCTTCATTTCCACTCATTGAAGTTAGTGGAGGTGGATAACTAGCTGCCCTTCTGATTTTTTTCGCGAATTCTCTACATTTTGATCGTTGAACTCCGTGAAAATTAGTTTCTTTTTCCATCAATAAAGAAGAGAATTCCTCAATGTTTTCACTAATGTCACTGCCTGTTTCGCTTCCTAAGCTTTCAGTGCACATATTCAAACTATTTGTGTTGAGAGAAGAGAGTTTCACAAGAGGATGAACATATACTTTGCTCTCTTCATCGCTTTTTTTCGAGTATTGACAAGGATTTGCAAGTGCTTGGATAAAGCTCCAGCCACCAACATTGTCATTTTCTTGTTCAATTTCATCTTCATGTTGACATATTTTAGACTTTTGTGGAAATGTGATAGGTTGTGGGAACTTTGATCTAGGAGGTGCCATTTTGGGCTCTAGACAAGATTGTAGCCCTTGATATAGTGTGGAAGTTGAGGTCATGTTTAGAACAGAGGAAAAAACAGAGGATTTGGTCTACTTATATTTAACTTGAAATGTGAAGTTTTTGAGTGTTGAAAAAACCATATGCTTAAATGAGGATAATTAATTTTTAACTCATTGAGCCATGTTTGGTTTATAAAATGTACCTAACCATAAGTGATAATGCTTAAGAGGGTGGCAAATTGAAGGTAAAAAGGGGAAAAACAAGGATAGAAAAGGGGAAGGTAGAGAATGGATAGAACATGAAAGAGAAGTGAAAGGGGTAAGGTTGAATTTATAGGACCAAAAAGTAACCACTTGAGGTTTTTTTTCTTTTTTTGGGTGGGGTGGGTGGGTGAGGGGATGGCTGGGGCCTAGGTGTTCATCTATATCCGTTCAATAAAAAAACTACATTATTTAGATATGATTAGAATTGTTTTTATGTATATATAGTAAATGTTGAATCTCCTTCGATTTGTTCGTTTGTTAATTTATTCATATTTTGAACCTGTTATGCTATTGATAGAAGGGGTTCTCTATTTGCAAAGGAGGAGGAGTTGAACTTTTGGTGCCACTAGAATTATTTAGCTTTCACTCTGCCACACAATAAATTGAGGAAAGGAACAAAGAAAAGTGGGAAGCTACAAATAATTTGAAGATGGACTAAGTTATTTTCTTTTTTCTTTCCTTAAGCTAAAATTTGATTGGTGAGTTTTAAGAATTTCTTTTAGAAAGAATTAATTAAATAGCGTGTGGATTTTGGAGGGTTGTTCACTTTTGCCATCCAAAAGTAAACCAACAAAAAGGATTCCTTCTGATATTTTTTTGATATATATTGCCTTTTTTCACACGCCTCCCGCCCCCCGCCCCCCTCGCCCCCCCCCCCCCCCATTTCTCTTGTGCTTTTCAACCCAACCCAAAATTAGTCTTATAAGTAAATCATTTAAGCAACTTCAACAGGAAAAAAAAAACTCAAGTTAGAATTAAGGTTAAACTCTAGTAATTGTAATTTCATCCTACACCGCGCTTGGATCGATTTTAATTCATTAAAATTCTTTTTTTTATAAATTCATTCATCTAAATTTTCACGTCTTTTAGTTGGCCATAGATTTTCCAAATAATATTTGGGGGAAAATTTGGCAAATAGTGTTTGTCCATACAATTTGCTATTATTTGGCAAATTTTTTTGGCAAATATCCCAAATTCCCAAATACTAGTTTTTTCTAGTATTTGGGCCAAATCTCATTATTTGAGATCTTTTGAAAATTGAAATTTTACCCCAAACTTTTATCTTTTACAAAAACACCCTCTATAGTAGTTGTTTGTGTCGTATTACATAATTTTTCACGTGAACACCAAAGTAGTGATGAAATTTTTAGGGTAACAAAGTGTGTTTTGTCTACTTCACGATGTATGGAATGATGCTTGTTGCACTCACTCTAAACTACCACATTGCTCTAGTGTCATGAACACTATTTGTTATTGTTGCAACGAAGATTCAATTGACTTGTAATACAAACTTATGGTTAGTTTTAATAGTTTTTAAAACTTATGGGTATAAATCATATTTTTCTAAAAAAGTGAAATATATTTCCCAAATACTATGGCCAAACACATGGTGAAATTTCACCCAAATTTTCACTCAAATAATATTTGTCAAGAATATTTAGAAATCTATGGCCAAACGCTAGCACAATGTAGATGAGTTTAAACATTGACCCCTATTTTATTTAAACTTTAGATTGTTTGCTTTATTTTTTAGATAACTAAATTCACTTATTATAAATAATTAATTATAATGGTAACTTTTTAGGTGACTTGATTGTTAAAAAGAATAATATGTCCAATATACTAAGAGCATCACATGGCTAAAAGGTTTCATTTGTTTAAATCACCGACCAAATGACGTCCTCTTAGCACTTGCTACATAAAAACAATGTAAATTGATTTATCACTAATTTCCTAAGCAAGCCCCTATTAAATAATCCAAACGTGGCATCTTGAGGTGTAAAGAGTCCCAACATTTCTTTGCCTTTAGAATGTAACCTCAACATTGGTCAATCTTTTCATTAACCTCATCATAGTTAATTAATGTATAGAAACCATCACTTCAAGAAAAAGATTGTTTTGATTCATTTAGCACCAAAGGATGTGGCTAATAAGTCAATGATGAGGACGAGAATCGTGGCTTCAAGTAAATATGAAAAGATTCAGATACGTCATCGAATTTTGAGAAAAAACTCATTTATGTCATTAGTTAGAAATTTGGTTCATTTATGTTTGATAAAAAAAAACTTATCTATGTCATTGTTGATTACTAAAATGATATAGATGAGTTAATTTTTAACAAATGATATAAATGAACGTGTTTCTTCAGAGAGAAAAAGATGGGAAGAAACAAAAGTAACAAGAAATTAAAACAAAAAAATCTTATTTTTTCCTGCTAATAAACCTATCAAAAAGGAAAAGCTGACCCCTTCCTCAGAGAAAGGCAAAAATAGCTAAAAGCAATTAAGAAATTTGTTCCATTATTTTCTATTCATACACTTTAGCTAAACAGCCTTGTACTGCTGGTTAAGAAGATGTCTCCTTAACCAAATTACGCATCAATTTGCTACAAATATCCCTCCCTTTGATCTCCTGGCTTTATTGTTTTTGGTTTTATTGATAAATTTTGTTCCTATAATCATACTGGTCGACCAGCCTTCTCTCTCAAGCAACATATGCATGCACATTTAGATCTTAATTAAAACAAAACTTAAAATAAGACACAGTTAAAAACACTTTTATAAAGGTCTAAATTTTAAGATTAAGGTACCTGTTCATGGCTGACGCTTGTCGATGCTCAACGATTTTCCCTCTCTTGCCTTTTCTGAGTGGACTTAAATTCTATAGATGCACGTCCAATGTAAAAGAATTTATACAAGTATACCACTATATGATATTTACAAATAAATCTCTATGACAAGCATAAATTAAAAATTGTTAAAAACAATAGCAATAACCAATACGTAGAATATCACGTAGGACGCGTGTCTACTGGTTCCAAATTAAGTTCCTACTTGTACGACACACTCACATTTAGAGGCATAGTTAGGTTCCATTTTAGGATAGATAACAGTGAAAAAATGTTATGCTCCTACCGGGCATAGAAAGGATATGAAGACCCTACACCCAGCAAATATAGTCATGAAAGTTCAGTCCACTAAGCGAGAGAGAAGTTGCTCAAGTGGTAAGCACCCTCCACTTCAACCTTAAGCAATTTGAAGTGAACCTTTGTCACAAACCAAAAAAAAAAATCCCTGATGACATGTTATACTAATTGGTCCCCAATATTCTTTCAGATATCAAATGCTTATAACAGAAATGTCATTCAATTCCAGATAATTTCTGTCAGTTTAATCAAATTGCTTATACATTAATAATTACAATCTTGACATGAAATTGTGTGGACACTATATATAGATATTACAACAGCCTATGTGAAAGAATTATTAGCTCCAAAAAAAAAGAAAAAGAGTAAAGGGACTCCACCTGTTATGAAACATGGAGATTTTGGATATCAATTCGCAATGATTTCAGTTTCTTCTCAATAATTGTCAATTCTTCTGCAGTCGCCAAAAGTTCATCCAGTCTGTTTTGAGCTCTAACTTGATATGGCTTACCGATGAGTTTTACAAAGTCCTCCACATTTCTAGTTGTCTCCAAGAGATCCTTCTGCATAGCCTCTTCGAGTTCACGTGCAAGGCCATCAGCAGTCCTCTTTACTTTATTTACCACTTGCTGTCTCCGGGATGAGAAGTTGGAGACCGCCAATAAACTATAAAAGGAACAGTTTTTTAATTATGATACAAAACAAACAATTGCTGAAGATAGGGGGGAAAATCCTATCAAATAAAAGATAATTCGTAACATTTCTCCAGACATGCAGAAACTCAAGAGCAAACAATATTACTGACAATGTTACATAACAGTAATTAAGCTTTAAATAGATATTCCCAATCCAAAAGTCACTCTCTTATACACAGAAGACAACAAAAATTACAGACTTTTAATTGGAACAAAAGGAACAGGATTACACATGTTCAGATCAGGATCTACATTATGACATTAAAACTTGCTTAAATTAGTGCACTCATTATGAACATTGAATTGCCAGGAAACAGGAATCTTTGACCTCTATGAGCCAGCAGTTAACGACCAATTACAATATATTAAAACAAAACTAGAAGCTCTAACTGACTTAATGTTAGGTAAATCCACCAAGTGCACTGAATAGGCTCTGAGTAGACAACCTAGGATGTTCCAATGGGATAGTAATCTATGTTCCCAACAAATCACATCAGCTCTCAAATAACAGAATACATATCAGAGCTACTATTAACATTATGAATTGATTCATCATCCAAAAGCATTGGATGTTACGCAACCTATACAAGCAGCAAAAAGTTTTGGAAATCCTCATAAATGATTAAAGATGCAACACTTTGAGAAAATTAAAGACATATTAGAAAATTTAAATTGAAAATAAGAGGATTACCCGCCAGCAGAACAAAGGCCAAGCGCAAGGAGATCTTCTAATGTGGTTTGAAGAACAGATGTCAGAAGCGACGCTGATAACCCAGCTGCTCCAAGACCACCAAAAGTACCCAAGAACTGAAAAATGAATGAGCTACCCTCAGAAATTTGTTTTACGTTAGCCATATTTTAAATAACATATGTATCCTTCAAAATTATGGACACCTCTACTCATCATATTGCACACCCCACAAATGGCTTTGCAAAAGACCTAGAAAGCAAAAGATGAACTTTGTGATTGATTTCCTCTCCTAACTATCTCGAATCTTTACAGGACCTGAAAAGAGGTCAAACTCTCTAAAAATGTGAAAAAAAATATAAGCTATCACCTAACTGGAAATAGAACGGCGAAATGTGGTTTTATTGGGGATTAAACTAGACAGATGAGCTTAAAACAATAGGATATTATTAGTGCTGATCTCTACTTCCAATAAAGCATCTGATTTGGTCTTCCAGATACACAAAAACCTCCACATTTTTGGCTATTATTCATAGAAAATTCTAATCCAGAATCAAAGATAAGCATAGAACTTGAGAAAAAATTGAAATGTGTGAGCAAAGGCAAAAAAGGCATCTTTATTTGACACTAAGAAAAAATAACACAATTCTCCCCCTCCCTTGTCTGTGAGAGAGACGAAGAAAGCTCCACGAGGCTTCTCAAAGAAAAAAACTCCACACTTACCTCTGTCTAAACCTACTACCACAGATGACATATTTCAACCGATTTTACCTGATTCCCCACTCCCAAAAGGGAAAAGATTCCAACTGTTAGAAAGAAGAAACAAAGAATGTATAGCCAAAAGAAGCATATCTTGGCAGAAAATGATATTAGAAAGATGTCACTACCCAACAACACACAACCATACCTAATTATCTAATGAGGTCATGATGTTATTAAAATAGGTTGTTAAGGGTTGGGAGGTTTACTATCTTTTTTATTTTTATTTTATTTTATTTTGGGCAGGGGGGAGGGTAATGAGGCAAAGAAAGGATATACTATATAGTATAAACATGCAAGTGATAACTGACTTTAAACATGTCAAAATCAGTAACTTAACGGGGTCCAGACACCAGTAGAAAGCACAAACCAGTTCAGTTAATTAGCATTAGCAGAAAGACGTACCACTTCACGAATATCTCTCTCGAGCAATTTGGAAGCAGCTGCAGCACTGAAATCCTCTATGACACTTATGGTAACTTCAGATTTTCTATCCAGCACACCAGTTGTGCCTAACTCAATTTGGTCAGACGGATTAACCAATGAAGTCCATCTTTTTGCGAAAGACTGCTTATAGAATTGTACTTCCTGGTCCCTCTTTGACTGTAACCACTTAGTGTACTCCTCGAGAAGGTTCTGCAATCAAAGATCATTTTCACCGAGAATAAAATTAGCTATAGAAATTTATTCACATAAGACAAAGCTACAGAAATCAAACAAAATATCTTCGGCTATGAAATTAACGTCTGTACTAGGATACTGGGATAACACTATTATAAGTAGAAGGAAGATCGAAGAAGGAAGAAAAGGAAGACCAAAAGGCGTCCATACCACTGGCTTAGGCACAAAAAGGTCACTATCAAATACAAGTCAAAGAGTTGAGCCCAATTTGAAAATTGAAACCTACCTAAAATTTCCTGATGTGAAAAAGAAAGCATACTCATGCACCTAAATTAAATCAAATACTTCCTGGAATCGAATACTTCATTCCAGGAGAAATCAACAGGAGTTATCTTCACTAGAAGAAATGAAGCAACCAAAAGAAAAATCCCATGCCCCACCCAACTAGAGGCTAGATGAGAGAACAAGACAGTAAACTAACTTACCAAATGAATTAGAAGCAAGATAATATTATGAGCATTTATTGATATACCCACATCTGATCCATGTGGAATAAAAGGGGTTGATCACTTTGCCTTCAAATCCAGAAGGCAAGTTTGCAGTAGTTATGCCTGCTGCACGTAATTTTTTCACATGCATGTATACAATAACAACAAATGTCATAGGAGGTTATCTTTCCAAATTAGGTTCAGAGATCTTCATTTAATAACCAGTATAATTCAAAATTGGAAATATCCACTTTCACATGGTGGAAACAGAAGGGAAAATAACAAACTATGATCAACTATTTCAATCATACTTCTAATTTGCTAATAGCTGGAGAGGATGACCGAGTCAAACTACAACAGTGCTACTTTGACTTCCGATAGCAAAGGAGAAAAGAGGACAGCTATTAACTTAATAAAAAAAGAAAGAAAAAAAGAGGACAACTGAGCTCAACTCTGATCAGTCACAGCAGAGAATAATGCACTCACTTGTCCTTCAAGAACCGCTTGACCTATGTCATTTTGGACACTAATGGTGGCTGGCTTTTTAGTAGAGTTTTCTCCTCTGAATACATATGTAGCGACAAGATCAACATTTGACAGTTGTAACGTTGATTCTACAAGCCGGACAACACGTGCTTGAGCAGAGTTTATCTGCATGTTAGTGCACAAAGTCTATAAGGACACATGCCATAGGTTAGTGAAAAACATGAGGATTGATATTAGTCACAATGATATCAACCCCATACCAGAGATAGAACCTGCCTCTTCCACAATATGCTATCAACTTCCAGCTTCTTTGTGCACTCTTCTACGCTGTTGACAAGATCCTCAACAAACAGCAAGTCTTGTTTGGCTTGCTGACATTCTTGTCTCACAAGTCCTTGACAAGCTAAAAGTAGTTGTTCTGCAATGGCAATTGGAGTTTCAAGCTTCAGCTTCATTCTCTCAATTCCAGTACTTGTGGATGAATCCAAAAAGCTAGACAAGTACTTCTCAAGCTCATAGAAGCTCTTGGTTTTCCAGTGAGAATCATTATTTGAACTCCCATTGTTTTGACTAAGGGCACCATCAAAAGTAGAAAGCTTTGATTCAAGAGCGAGCCGTGCAGATACTGGATACAGTGTTACGGATTCTGTATTCAGCAATTTCCGTGTATTTTCTTTGATAAATGCAATGGCCTCCTCCAACTATATCATGAAAAAATAAGAATAAATGACTTCAATCAAAATGGTCCAGTTTTTATATCCGTGTATAGTAAGAAATTATTCTCACTCAACAATATCACAACAGCAAGTGTATGACCAACCTCGCCGTTATTCTTGTATATGTCAGACTTGTTCAGCACAAACACGACCTTCTTACTCCACTGCTGAGTGTAACGCAGAAAACTAACCTGATGAGCACCAGAATTGCTATTGTGATTAACTTTTGGCAAAAGAAGACCAAAAGAAAGACATTAGATATCCCGAAAATCACAAGAAATTGAACTCTTTTTTCTAAACTATAAGAAGGGGCAAGACATTAATAAGTAGGTCTAGATGACAATTTAAACATTGTTGCTATCTGCTTGTATTTTGCCGACTAATATTATTTTTGTTATACATAACTATAGTCTAATTACTTTTTCGTTAAAAAAGTTAATTTTCTAACTGAAATAAAATAAATCAAAGTCGTAGTTTTTTCGATCAAGCTAAAACTTGGATGATCATCCATAAAATGTAATCCTGTAAATTATCAAGGAAATTGGGCAAATGTTTTGCTTAATATTGTTTATGTGAATTTAATTTTTAAGGAATCATGACGGGGTATGTTATTTGTTTTCTTTACCAAAAATGATCTGCCAAACTTGTATGGATAAGAATGAAAATACTAAAACAACCCTCTTTTGTCAAAAAGGGAACGTTCTAAATTGATTGTCATCAATTAAGTAACTAGTCAATTAATTAATTAGACGGTTAGGATTTGCAAAAAGTTGTAAAAACTATTAAAATTGTCTCAATTTTTTATACAATCTTACCAAACAAGCAAAAGCTCATAACAAAATACACTATCACACAGTTATTCTAAAAAAAATACAACATTGGCCATGAGAATTTTTCACTTTTTTCTGGAAAATTTTCACTTTTTTTTTTAAAAAAAAAAAAAGCAGTTGGCCATGAAAATTCCAAATACAACTTGAAATTGTATTTGGAATTTGAGAAACACTCAAAACCTTGTATTCACTTTCACTATATTTTTCTTTTTTCAAATTTACCCTAATTTTTTCCTTTTTATAAAAATAACCCCATTTAAATTCTTTTTTTTTAATTCTATTTCATGTTTAAATCATATTTCATGTTTTTTAGAAAAAGTGCATTCAAACAACCAAATATTATTTGCAAAAATTATAACCAAACACAACAGCATCTTCAACTCCAAATTCAAAAATTCCAAATAAAGTAAAAAATATCTATAGTAGTACGTAGTAGCTCGTATATGGGATTTAATCTATGACATTATGTGACTATCTATTTTGAGATATTACTCTTTTAGAGAAAATTTGATTGTATGTTTGAGGGAAACTAATCGAGTTGGGTGATTTTGCTAGTTCTTAGACGTTGGGGGTAAAAACCATATTTGGAAAAAATACATTCAAATTCTAAATATTTTTTGCAAAAAGTAAAGTCAAACACAACTCCAACTCCAACTTTAAAAATTCCAAATAAAGTGATTTATTATTTTGTTTTTGTGGTCAAACGCCCACTAAACTTCTAGAAGTAATAATCTCATCAAAGCTACTTCAACACCTAAAAGGCTCAAAAATCACCCACCCCCTCCTTAACACATGGGTGTTGTAACAGCAAAAGGAGCATCTTTGATCATAGTATTTTTGCTGCCTTACTTTGGCAAAAATATTCAAGAGTTGTATACGATGACTTTGGCAAGATTATGGTTTATAAGACAAAGTGAGTTTGCAAAACCCTTCAAATCAGTATAATGCCAGAGGTAATGCCTAATGAAGGAGAAAGGTCCCAGTTCAAGTTTAGTCACTTTGTGATAGTAAAAGCGCAGGTAGAGAATATTGAGGCCCTAGCACAGGTGTTGAATTGGCAAATTGCAAAGTTGGGGCTCTTCCTACAACTCATCTTGGTTTACCGTTAGGAACATCTAATAAAAACCAATCAGCTTGGAATCCAGTGATAGAGGTACTTATCAAAAGGGAAAGAGGAAGTGTTAATCAAGAGCCTACTATCGAGTATCCCCACATATTTCAGGTTTTTGCTACACGCTCACGGCAGTGTTACAGAGAAGTTGCATAAACTTCAGCGGGCTTTTCTATGGCATGGAGATTTCAGGTAGGTGTAAATGCTCTTTGGAGAGGAGTGATAACGAAGAAGCAAGCTGTTTTGGAAGGTGGTGGAGGACTAAGAGTGTTTCACTTCCCTATGGTAGTGCGCAATGGAGAAATATTTTGAAGAGGTGGAAGGAGCTATAGGGAACACATCATTCAGGGTGAGGAATGGAGACATATGTGGTACGGGAACAACATTTTCAGATGACACTTCCAAACATGTAAGAATCTCATGCCAAAAAGAGATGTCAGTCCAACAACTATGGAGTCTGCAAGGTGGAGAAGAGCATTGGAATTTGAGGTTTAGGAGGACTTTGCAAGATTGGAGCACAAAGAGTTTCAAAGTTTGGTCCAATTCCAAAAAAAAAAAGAGTTCCAAAGTTTGCTGGAATTGCCTCACAACCAAAGCACTACGCTGGATAACCATGTATGGAGATGGGGGACAGGAATAACGACATTTTTCTATTAAGTCCTATTATAGGAAGCCTCTGATAAGGGAGGTGTCAGCTTTTCTACATATTTCAGTACAGATCCCTAGCGTATCAAGGAACAAGTGTTTTTTTTTGCTTGGCTAGTTGCGAAGGGGTTGAACTTGAAGGCAAAGAACTTGAGGAAGAGAAAGAGGAAGATTACTTGTGTTAGTTGGTGTTTAGTTGGACTTTTAGAAGACGGATAGGAAGAAGCAGCGCATGAAATGTTTCTCCTCTAGCACTTTGTGGACCATATGAAGAGAGAAATAAGAGAGCTTTTGATGGAGTAGAGAAGGATTTTGTACATTTGAGGAATAGCCTCTAATCCTTAGGCTCATTCAGTTACGGAATAAAGTTGTGCAGGCTATGTTGCTCGAATTCTACAAAAATAATGTTGTACCCGTGGCAAATCCTCCGAAAATGCACTACTTTTGGAAGATTCAACATGCACTTGGAGGTATATTTGAAGATTCTGAGCAACATAGATTGCGGATTATAATACTGGGATTTAATAGTCCATGTATTATTTGGTGTATATATGCATTTTTATTTGAATGTTTGGTTATTGTTTTAAAAATGGAATATTACTTGTATAATCTGAAATGTGTCTTTGAGTTTAACATGGATAAGAAGTTGTTTCCAGCTATAACCTTGGCTTTGCATTCTCAAAGCCATCAGCTTCTTGCTTATTAGAAAAACTCCAATTTGAATAAAAGGATTATTTCATCTAGTTCACCAAACCAAACGACCACTTATTTCTTTTTGGAGCACCCACAAAGTTTCTATATGTGTACAGGATTGGATGTCTTTCATAGAAAAACCATTTCTTTTTGTGAGGTTTTCTACTTTTTGGTATACTTCTTTTATACGGGCCCTTGTTTCTTGCCCCTTCTTAATATTATAATTTTATTACTTGATCAAAAAGAAGTGATGGTCAAAGCGTATGAAAGACTTTCTGTTTGGACAAAATAGAGTATTACACAATCATTATTTTCTAACACATACAAATTTAGTCACAAGTCAAAGCAGAGCTTCCAGATGATCCCTCAAAGAACTAGACAGACTACCGAGAAATCATTTTGCTTCAGTAATAGGAGTAACACTTTTCTGCTTTATGGTTTCCTTAACAGTAAGGTCCAGTCAGTGCTTCCATAGTGTAACTGGAGCATAGAATTTCCAGAGAATGCACATAAATACACGAGTGTCTGATACAATTATGGACCGACACAAATATGAAATTGGTCGGCATTAGCACTTAAACGTCTGCAACTAACGGATCCTAATGGTCAGTATTCACTATAAATTCAGTAAATAGCAAATGCTAAAAGCAAAGCAGCATGGAGAATATCACATTGTCTTTTACTGTCATTATATAAAGCAGGTGGCAAGAATTAAATTGCAACAGAGGTTTTATAAATCCTTAAGAATACTACAGCACCGAATCACATCTGAACTGTAGATTGAGATAACAAGTCTGAGATTTCTTGGGGACGGAAGGTATAGATGTCGCTAATGAAGCTCCGGTGACAACTAAAAGATTTCCAGAAGACCAGTCCTTAGTTTCCTTAAGCACCACAGCTCTTCCAATAAACGGGCAAATGTTATACCAAATCCAATCTAGCTACAACACTTGAGCATGAAATGTAAAGGTTGCTTAAAGGTGGCTGGCCAGTGCTACCACAATAAAATAGCTTTTCTCGCTCATTCCCAATTGGAGGTGCTCTTTCCACCATCCCACAACTATGACACTTAAACCTAGTTTGTCAGAATCGACTGAGAGGAAAAGGTTCTCTTTGAGCCATAGTGAACAAAAAGCAATATGCATGTAGTAAAAAACAAGATTTCCTTTTGGTAAGTTACTTAAATGCATAACCCTATGGAGTACTCCCTCCATCCCATTTTATGTGATGTTGTTTCACCAGGTATGGCGTTTAAGAAAGGAAAAAAGATTTTTGAAACTTGTGGTCTAAAACAAGTCATAAATATTTGTATGGCTATAAATAAGATAATATTGTTTCTAAATATAGAAAGATATCATTCTTGGGACAGAGGGAGTAATGCAATGGTAAAATTTTACTTGTATTTCTTGATTGTTTGAGACAAGTGAACAAAATTGTGATACTCTTGCTACGAAAAGTTGAAAGCAGATGCAATCCTACCTTAATCTCCAGAAACCCAAAGTCCTCACTCTTGAGGGGCAACACAAGCAAGCCACAAACAAGGTCCTAGATTCTGTAACCTTAAAAATACTGAAGTGGTACTCATACAAGTGACAAAACCATACCTCACTTTCAGTTAATGGTCGATCAGCAGACATGAGAAACAGAAGCAGATCTGCACGAGGCACAAATTCCTCTGTCAGCCTTTGTTGCCTTTGAAGAATCACATTCGTTCCTGGAGTATCAACAATAATCATCTGCCAGAATAAACAACAAAAAGATTGGAGAGCCAGGCATGGAAATTAAGAACTCAAATCAAGCTGTAAGGAGGCTAATATCATAGAGAGACAATCAATATTAGATTAGGCAATACAAAAGCAGAAAATTTGACTTTCTATGAAAGAAAACTCTACCGAATTGTAACATCTGAAATGTCTCCTTCAGACTACCGATTATAACCACCTTCGTGAGTTTTATACACCATACATCTTTAGAATCTGAGACCACACAGGCATGTGAAGAGTTGCTCCAGTCCATTTGAAGTCCAAATCTAAAGTTTAGTGCCCATTTGTCCATGGATAATTTTCACTTTTTTCCAGAATTTTATTCTGGAAAACTGTTTGGAACTTTGGACATAGAAGTGTTACAGTTTTCCAGAATTCAACTTAATTTTCCGGAATTCGAAAAACTCCAAAAGGCTGTTTTCACTCCAAATCACTCATAAAAATTCAAAAACAACTCCAATTTGTATTTAGGTCCAAACACAACTCCAATTTTCAAATACCATTTTCAACTTGAAAATACTCCCTCCATCCCATTATATATGAGTTAGTTTGACTTGGCACGAAGTTTAAGAAAGAAAGAAAGATTTTTGAAACTTTTGGTCTAAAATAAGTGATAGATATCTGTGTGGCTATAAACCATTTCATTAAGGATAAAATGTGCATTTTAAAGTTAAATTATCATATATCATACATATATATATATATATACACATACATAAATATAAAAGAGAACCTTAGGCTCGCCTACGTGGCGCCACCCCAAACCATGATTCCCTTTTAATTTATTTATTTCCAAAACTAGTCTTCTCCTCCTCTCAGAAACCTTCACAGCCGTCACCACCATCTTACAAATTAAGCCTCCATCAAATCTTCCATATGTATAAATATCAGCCCTCCTTTGAACTTACTTAAGCAACTAATCGCCAGATAGGAATACCAGGCCACACTTAAGTCTAACAAACGGGTACCAGAATGAAGTATTGGGTCAAACTATGTGAGTTAGCTGGCTCAGATGAATATATAACAGTTATACCTTGAGAATTTTCTTTTAATTTTGGAATTGTGAATGCTTCTCCTTTAATCCTATGTATACTTGCATTGTTGCATGCATTAGTTTACCGTTTTTCGGTAATCTTACTTCACCTTTGGTGATTTGAGTTAAATTATTTTTTTGTCTAGGGGTGGTACAATAAAGATTGAAGGTCAATGTCATTTATTAGAGCTTTGAATGAAATATGAAGAGTTGCGACTTTCATGAACAGTTGCAATTTTTATGAAAAGTTGTGACTTTTATGAAGAGTTGTGACTTTAATGAAAAGTTGTGACTTCTATGAAATTTTGTGACCTTTCCGAAGGGTTGTAACTTTTCCAAAGAGTTATGACCTTTCCAATAAGGCACAATAAGCATTTGTTACAATACCCTTTGTTGTCTATAAATAGAAGATTTTCTCTCATTTTAAAACAACGAAATTTTGAACTTCTTCTACACAATTAAATATTCGTGTATTTGCTCTTGTTGAGTGGCTGACTGACACAAGTGTTTTTGTGCAATACACTAGTGAATAGAATCGTTCTATCCTGAGATGATTTATTCCTTTAAACCTCGGGTACTAGAGGGGAATAATTTCCTTAAGGGGACACAGTGCATTCAGTGGGCTCGATTTTTTCCTTTCTGTTTCATTCTATTGTTAGAGACGTTGGTATGTCTTTTACGGTCATTAATTTATGCTTATGTTATTAATTGTTATTTTTGAGTACATGTTCTAAACTTTGTTGTTTATGTTTCTGCAAAGTTATTGTTATAAGTATTTGTTAGTATAGATTAAATAACACACGTTAATTGAGTATTTTCACGCAAGTTTTCTCTACTGCAATTGTTGAAGGTACAATAAAAAAATCCCTTAAAGATATATACTACCATCTCTTGAAGACAAAATCCAAATTTAGTATGCCATTGTAAGGACATAAAGACCTTAAAAATCTGACCGTACCTTGATGTGCAAAGTGAACCAGGAAAAGAAGACAAGAATTAATTAACTTTTGACATGGCTTCAAGGATGGTGTGTCGGATGACCTATAGAAGAATATGACTACACTGGAGCCACTTTTAATCCCAAAAACATAGATAACTACACAATGAATTAATTGCTCATGGATAGATTGTCAAGTTTACTGCAAGTTTTAAATACAATTTCTTGAAGTAATAGATGTGTTTCTCGACACTGCGATTGAAATAGAAGTGTAGTTTGAAATTGAACTTCATCACACTGGTACGTTGATTTTTAAAAAGCGTCCAAATAAACTGAATAGTTTTGTGTAATATTTTTCCATCTCAAGTATATATAATTAGTTGAATTACTGTCCAATATGATACATTCTTCCTTTAATTTTCCATTTTAATAATTTCTTATGATACATTTAAATGGAGAACTTTAAAATGATATATGTAAAGCAAAAGGCAGGGCTGAACTTTCTACACGTTAAAATTAGAATATTTGTTCACTTTTTTCAGCCTTTTAAAATCACCAACGATTATTTATTTATTACAAAATTTAATATCTCAGGTTGATGTTCATTTGATTCCCCAAAAATATCAAATAGTAACACTTCCTGGAAGCAATAGGATAAATTATAAAATTATTAATGTTCGTTACTACATAATCTTGTATGTAAGATAATATAGTGTTTTAGTTTTAATGACTGATAGGTTTTAAGTATTATTTTATAAATTCCGTGATATTAAATTCTCACGTGAGGCGCGGGTTTTTTACTAGTTACTTAATATAAAAGTGTGACATTCTTTTTGGGACTACCTAAAAAGGAAAGTAAGTCATATAAATTGGGACAAAGGGAGTACTACTTTTTCCCAAATTTCACAATTTTCATGTCCAAACGCTCACTTAATGTAGAACACAATTAACCCATATCAGTTGCAAAATAATAAATATAGTGTACAATTATAAAAATGCACAGTTTAGGAAGCACCTACCATCTAGCATAAAAAAATCCAGCAAAATATGTGCCGAAAACCATTGGGATCAAATGCAAATGTGCAATAACTCTTTGAAACTGAAACTAGTAACAACTGGTGTGAAAATCATATGTGCCATAAATTATAAAACTTGAACAAACATTTGCATATAACAGCGTCATTAATGATTTACTAAGGTTAACAACCGCATAACAAACCAACATAATGATGTATAACTATAAAATGTGTCTCAAATCAGGCAACTACACATAGTCAATAAGTGAGGAACACAAAATGGTAAGTCAAATGAAGTCCCCCCGATATGTAGAAGATAGCATCGACATATTTACTTGCACATACAATTTTCCCACGTGAACTAGATTTCTAATTAAATTCATTGATAAAATGTAAAATTGGAAGTCATCTTAACGTTCAGACAAGACAACTCACCTCTTCAAGAACTGGAGCCGGCAAGTAGCAAACATATTGACCATCTGGGTGCCTTTCACAACGCTGTGACTCATCAACATCCGAATAGCGCAAAAAGGTTATCTCATTGGTTGTAGGAACAACCCCATCTTTCAAGTACTTTTTCCCAAGAAGAGCATTGATGAAAGTAGATTTTCCAGAATTGAATTCTCCCTAGTTTATCAAGAAATTGCATTCAGAAAGGAAAACAAAGAGGATGAAGAAACAGTAATAATAATGATTATGCTGAATGAGGTACTATATGTGGTCTTGAAAACACAGTAATATGGAGGAAGAGAAAGAGGCAGAGACGGAGACAGAGACAGAGAGAAAAGGTCACAAATGCCAGAACCCAAAAATAGAGAAGTAGAGAGCCAAAGAAATAACAAGAAACATGCATAAACAGCAACTTCAGGTCTATAATATTTTAGTTTTATGCATTGCTTAAAATTTAGATTGGACCAGAGAAGGAAATACTCATTTGAAATTCAGAGCTAATACCCATGCATATCCCTGGAACCAGAATTTGCTGAAGTTCAGCGCTCAATTACCACTATAACCAGTAAGAATGGTTCATCAAGTTGAGAAACAGCATCTTTGAGAAGTGAGATTTCCTCCATCTGCCATTTCAGTAATATCCCAGGTTAGTCTAAACAAGCAAACTGCTGACAGATGAATTATTATCTGTACCACAATTCAGCAGCTAAATTTTGACAAAACAAGATCACCATTGGAGCAGCTTTCTCAATAACATTTATGGTATCGAGCAAGACCAGTCTCTCTTTTTCCAGCAATTGTTGTTCTCTATCTCGTAAGTCTATAAAACCAGCCACCCCCTTCCTACCAGGAAAGCCATTTCCCAAGTCCGAATTAAGCCGGCTGTTACTTTGAGAGTTTTCCTCCATTTTCTTCTTCAAAGCATATGCGCTGTAAAACAGTTTGCCAAAATCATCATCACTCACAGACCTCAAATCTTCCATCGAAACAACTAATCCACTAGCTCCTGATTCAAGTAAATTTGATGCTTCATTGAACAACTTTCGATCCCCAAGAGAACCAATCATGACAAAAACAGGAATTTTCACATGCTCAAATACAGAGCTCACCAGCTCCTCAGGTTCTCTATTGACACCGACTTCATATATAAGAAAATCGGCTCCTTCAGAGTTCGAGGCATCCACTGCAGCGGCAGGTGTTTGTACAATTCTTGCTACCAAAGGAAGAACCACTAACTCTTCCGATTTTGAATCCATCATTGTGTTTCTGGCCACGATAGCAGGAAGATCTGTTAGAAAGGAGAATAGGTTATCCACAAGCAATGACTAATGCAGGCAGCTACTTAATTTAGACAGCACATCATGCATCTAGAAGATCAATTACAGATCTTGTTAACATTTGCATTCCAGCGAAGCCAAATGAATGAACCTAAAACTGAGTGCTAGTGATGGCTAACTGCAATTTGGTTAGGAATTCTCACCATTGTTCACGAAGTTTGAACTATTATTCAGACACATTAAGTTTCAGATTGAACCATTGTAGATAGTAATGAGCAACATTTCTTTCAATGAGTATGTAATAATCAATGTGTTACAAGTAAATAATTTCTCATTGCTTGGGTTGATCTGTAGAAACCAGCTTCATTCGACTGTCCCATCATGAATAATTCTACTGCAACTAGTAACATTTTTCATTTTGCAAGTAAAACTTCACTAGTACTAGTTGCTAAAAATTTATAAGAAATTTACTAGCAACTGGTACTAGTAACTATTAAACAATCACTCTAGAATATTAGATAAATGGTCATCCAGCTCATGTCGTATTTATTAAAGATCACAACATTATGTAGCAAAAGATACTAGGATAAAAGCCTATAGGTATCAACCAATGACCTACTCCTCAATCCCAAACTAGTAGGATTCAGCTATATTGGCGATAAATTGAGGCCGACATCAAAAGTATGGCAAGGTAGTTTTTCATTTTCAACAATATTTATATGGAACATTATAGCACAAACTCACTGTGTAAGGTGAAGTACGAAATACAAAACGGTAGGTACAATGTAACACAACACAACCTTGATCAGAGAGCAAAACACCGCTGGCATTAACCGCGGCAGCAATATCAACACGTCCATCGATCAACAAGTAAGCCCTGCCTTTAATTACAGACTTCAACAAACACGCAGCCTCGTACAACTTCCCGCCGCTTGCTCCACCGCCACTGAGCACCACAACATCAACCCGACCCGAAATCGCCTGGTCTATCTCATTGACAACTGTTTCATCTCTCAATACATCTTCGCAGCTTAGCTTTAGCACTAAACCCGGCACTTTGATCTCCGGCCTCTTAAATCCACCAGGGAAAAGAGTTCTAGGAGTTTGCTCGGGTCGGTTTAGATTGTTAATCACGAGCTTGACATTATCCACAGGGGAGTACACGGAGCTATTCGCGCAGTGGCGGCGACTCCGGAAGTGGAAACACTGGCGGCGCCTAGGGTGGGTAAAGAGAGGGCACGGTGGAGAGCGAACGCTAGAGTATAGAGTTTGTAGAGATACCATAGAGAAGAATGAATTTCGCGTGCACGAATGCTGCGGATTTTCCGACGTAGGTGACGGCGGACCACGGCGGTGGAAGAGAAGGAGGGATGACGGTGAGGCCTTATCTTATCTAATTGTACTGTGCTCAGAAATCAGAATGAATCAATGGAGGAGCTTCAAGTAAAGCGCGAATTCTAAAACTAATAACTTCTTTGCTTAAAAAATAAATATTCAAAAATAATCTGTGCAAAATTTATTAGTATATTTTTCCTTCGTTAATAATCGGGTCATTCGCACGAATTTCTTTATTTTTTGCTTGACTTTAATTTATGTCCTTCATCACCTTAAGTAATAAATTAGTAAACTAGTCAAAATTTCTCACATAATTATTTAAAATATCTACATTTTAAAATAATTATTAAAAATATCAATATGTCAATATTTTAGTAAATATAATGTATTCTAATATAAGTTATTTACCTTCTTCTTCTTTTTCTCAAATTGGGCCTACTTTTTGACCCCAAAAAGATTCCATTACCCACTTTTCTCTCTCTAAATTTTTTAGTAAAACTTACATAAATGACTATAGTTTTAGGGTTATTAGATTGAAATAGCTATAAGTATCATATTTTAAAAAAATAGCTACAGTTTGAGTTAAAAAATAGCTAAATTCCATAAATATTTCATTTTTTTTTAATACAAAAATACATTCAAAATTAACTCCCACTAAATGAGGTCAGTTAATGTAACTGACAAGGCTATTTTCCAGCCCTTAAAACCCACTAATTTGGCACTTTAAAAAATGTAACTGACCTATAAGGTATAGGATTCTGATCAGTTTAAAATTGAAAATATGTTCCTTCTTTCCTTTTCATTTCACGCCAAAAGCAAAAAAACAATTTCATGGCTACTATCACAGTTTTGATTCGGCATTCCGGAAAATGGAGCGAAGAGAATTGCTATGTAGAATATAGCATTGATGGGATAGTGTTGAAGGAATATGCTTCGTATTCTGATTTAGTTGATTTGATTTCGGTACAATTGAACGTCGATCTTACAAAAAAGTGTATGAAAATCAAATACACTGTCGAAGGTAACGACACGCCTATGGAAATATGTAACGACATGGGTGTGCGCGTATATGTTCAGTTGAAAAAGATCAACACTCAATTTGGAGTATATCCCTTATGTGTAAGTATTTTCGATATTGATATAGTATATTCTGATTCTGGAGAAACTTCTATTGAAGGTGATGTGTTGCAACTTGAATACAATCAAGAATTAATTGGTACGAATGATACATTACCAATTGTCCCAACATTTGGCGATCAACCAGTAGATGCATTTGATGGTGGAAATGATTTAATAATTACAAATAGATCGCAAAAGGAGATAATGATTGATCAGATATACATGGATAAGTCGACATTGAAGGATGTGATGGAAAAGTATTCAATCGAAAAAAGGTTTAAATTCTTGGTGGAGAGGTCAAACTCTATAAGGTAAATTGTTGTTAAATTTGTTTCATTTTAAGTGTATTGAGTTATGTTTGCAGATGCAAAGCAGAACTAACAAAACAATATAAATTGTATTCGCAACTATACTCTTGTATGTCAATCTAAAGAATGTCCATGGCTGATGAAAGCGTCAAGTATTAACAAGTCGAAGATGTTCAGAATTAGAGTTTTTAACTCTGAACATACATGTCCTTTAAAGGATGGGGTGCATTCAGATTGTCGTGCAACATGGATTGATTGGAGGAATAATCGCACCTAAATTGAGAAATCACAAGAGGAAGTACACTCCAAATGATATCAGGGATGACGTTAGATTGGACTAGGGTATTAATATTAACTACATGTTGGCATGGCGAGCAAAAGAGAAGGCATTAGAATTGATAATGGGGCAACCAGTTGCGTCTTATGAGAAGCTACCTGGATACTTGTATACCTTGGATAAGACATACCTTGGTTCACATATTCGAATGAAGAAAACACCTGAGAACGATTTTTTGTATGTGTTTATAGCGTTGCATGCTTTTATAAAGGGATTTGATCATTGTAGGCCGATTGTTGTTGTAGACACCAGCCACCTTAAATCAACATATACTGGAGCATTCGTATCAGCCAGCACTTTGGATGAAGCAAGTATTTTAGATACATAAATACATTACAATTTTATTTATTTGTTATTCACCCTTTTTTTACATTATAATAGGGAATATATTACCTTTGGCATACGGAGTTATTGATTCAGAAAATGATGCTTCTTGGGCATGGTTCTTTGAACAATTCAAAGAAGCTTATGGTGAAAGAGAGAATATGTGTGTGGTATCTGACCGACATAATAGCATAATAAATGTTGTATCTATTGTATACAACAATATCCAACATTACGCCTGCATATGGCACTTGTGGGCTAATGTATGCAAGAATTTTTGAAAAGCAAATGAACAATTAAGTGAAGTATTCTACACTATGGCAAAAGCGTATACTCAAACTGATTTTGATAAGCTAATGAAAAGAGTTGAGCAGTTTGATGTAAGGGTGAAAAACTACTTGGAGTTGGTTGGATATAAGAAGTGGGCAAGGTTGTATGCACCAGTTCCTCGGGGTTGGGTGATGACATCGAATATTGCAGAGTGCATCAATTCGACATTGGTAGCAGCAAGAGAATTACCAATATTTGACTTTCTTGAACAAGTGCGCTTGATGTTTGCTAGATGGAATTGCACAAATCGAAAAAATGCATCATGTACTTTCACACTACTTGGGAAGAAGTTTCAGGAAATGCTTGTGCTTAATGAATCAAAATATGGGCGTATGACGGTATGTATGTTGAAGAAAGGTTAATAATTTATGAGAAAAATAATATTTGTCATATTCAGTTGATTATGTATTCATTTATTTAAGTATTTAAAGTGTATTTGCTTTCATATGGAGTGTATAAATGAAATTACGTATTGATTCTAGGTTGTCCCGTCAACTGATTACATTTATTCAGTAAGTGATGAAGGGAAGAGTTATATTGTATGCTTGGAAAAGAAGACTTGTAGTTGCAACAGGTTTCAAGTTGACGGAATACCGTGCGCACATGCGTGGAGGGTGTTGAACAAAAAACACATGCTTCCAGATGAATATTGTTCAGACTTTTACAAGCCAGAAACAATATTGAGAACATATGAAGTGCATGTGTATCCTCTCCCTGACAAAAGTGAATGGAATATACCTGAACACATTGATACCGAAGTTGTGTTGCCACCAAAATACAAGCGACCTCCAGGAAGGCCAAAGAAGCAACGGGAGAAGTCATTTAGCGAGTTTAGCAAAAGGAAGGTACCAATTCTTGTAGTACATGTGGACAGCGTGGTCATAATAGGCGTTCATGTCGAACTGCAACACGGAATGCATAGGAACTAATACATCCCACAATTGAAATGTTCTTTTACTTAATTTTTGTTTTGTCAAATAAATGACTTATTTGCCTTTTGAAATATTTGTTTATTTATTTGCTTGCTTAAATTATAAATTAACTTGAATATTATCTCAATATTAAACATGATACAAAATTCTCAATCGATAAATATCCAACTATCAAGTTGATAATATTAACATTTATTGATACACACAAACTACTGGTAATAATACTTGAGAATATGTTGGTGAATACACATAAAACATTTACTGAACGTTTATCACTTTTAAGAATGCAAGTATCCAAATGTCCTTAAGTAAGAATTGAAAGACCCTAGTATACATTTATACTATTGAATATGTTGATAAAAAAAAATACACAAACTGAACAAAGGTATATATCCAAATGTATGTGTTCAGGCAGACTGGACATTTATACAAGCATACATCGATCTCTTCCTACCATTACATTGAATGCAATAACCCAAACAAAAACAGTAAATCAACATGATCATATATATATAGAAGAGATGATAATGTTTGACAAAAAACTAAAATATTAGTTTTAACCATAAGCATAAAATAGAAGTTCAAAAAGATAACTAGTACAAAATACTAATCAATCCTAACAAGTTGACTATTATCGATTCTTGCGGGTGGCCTCATCATTCTGGGTAGTGCCTCATTCTCGCTAACAGCCCCTTCTTCCATTTTCTTCGCTGCATATTGCCACAATAGTGCGCCGTATCTGATGCGGTGTAACTTAGAATCAAGGTATTGAACTGGAATATCTTCACCCTCACTTAGGTACTCGGCAAATGCTAGCAAATATATTCCACAATCCCTGAAAGATACACTTATTAAATAGGATATTGTTTATTTAAAAAGTAAATTAAGAGACTATTTTTTTTATACTTACAAGTCACCTGATCCCTGTTGAGGTATATCCTCTACATACGTCACATCGTATGCAATGTCATGATCTTGTGTATCATCTGAATTATTGGCAATCTCCATTGACACATACATTGGCAGAAGCTAAGCAAGCTTTTGAATTTCATCCCTAACATAAGAGTTATGACCTGCTGCTCTGTATGAGTCATATACATAAATGTGTCGTTCAACTATTGACAAAACAGCCAACACCCAGTGATTTTTCTGCTTCACATTTACTGGTATGAACACATGATCGATTGTATTCCATGGAATGGCAGCCATCAACCTATACCCATTTATGTAATCACGTATGTCGCTTTCAACATATGCAACACATATTTCGCTTCCAACTTTAGCATATGTGGCATAAATTTCATCAATTTTTGACTTGAACAGACAGTCAACAGTAGTGTATCTGTAGCGACTATTGATGTTGTACTTAATTTTTTTACACAAATAATATAGAACCACATCAATATGTTGTCAAAAAAAATAATCAATAAATATATGTGCGTGCACATCTTATAAACAGAAAGGGCTTCTTTTACGTATATATTCATGTTTTTACCTCATCATTCAGAAGTTGTTTATCATAAACAGAGAGTAGAACCAATTCTTGTTTGATATGAGATGAATACCCAAATCCATATCAACCGCCAATTCTGCTTTTTTATTCTTATACCGATCTTCATCATGCATCCTTTAGATAACAAATAGAATTAAAATTTAAGTATATTATGTGTACAAATGACAATCATATGAAATAAAAATACTTATTTATTCATATGCCTAACAAGGAGCCCTTCACGAAGCCACATTGCATAATCGTCAAAAAGATCATAATTATATGGCCCTCGTATGAAGTCAGAAACAAAAGGATGTTTCTTTTCATAAATTTTTACCACATTGGAAGAGCTACCTGAAATTTTATGTATACAGACCCACAAATTGTAACAAACATATTCTCGACTTATTTCCTCATCAATTTTGCATGAAAAATCATATATTTTAAAAAAATAGAGGGGGGGGGGGGGAGGTAAGACATACAGGAGGAGAAACACTATTAATTACCAGATGATGATCCAAAATTTGTCGAGTAGAAAAAGAATTCCATCGATCAGGACGTTTTGTCCTTTGAACTGGCACGGGTATACTATCATAAACAACACCCTCTGGATGAACCACAACACACTTTTTGGGATTGATTGTATCAAGGCTAGGTAACAAAACATCAAGCAACTCAAATTGTGACTGTGGTTGTTGGATTCCATCGTTCTGTAAGGCATTAATGTCTCATGTCTGAAATGAAATGGCAAAAATAACATATATTATTCAGAATGTCGCGCATAAATAATTTATATGAGTAGAACAATTAATATTACACTAATTAATACTTACAGTAGAGATACTATCCTACCATCAGAATTCTACCAAAAGTTACATACATATTTATAGTATTATAATGTATTATATTACCAATAGGTATACTTACAAAGTATCATATGTATTGTTGGTATTGGAATGTATTCTATTATCAGTAAATATCCTAGTATATAAATATTTCTACAAAAACTAGAAATAAGTAAATACAACTTATAAGTTCATTGAATAAACCATAAGTATTCTATTTATATAAGGTATTTACTTATTTTTGAATACATAATTGAATACATTTTTTAAACACCCTTATAAATACAATAAAATTTAAACAGTACCTCAAATGATGGCATTCCAACAGGTTGTTTGCCGTTAGACTGTTCATGTACCGACAAAGGGTCTTGTATGTGTATCTGGGCAGGTTGATAATTCTCCTGGACATTATCTTTGACATGTTCTTCAAGAACGAATCGAAATGTCTGATCCTAACAATATTACAATAATAAATATTTTTTGTTTGAGAAATGTAACAGAATATTACAATAATAAATATTATGTTTGAACCTTTAAATTTTTTGATGATGTATCTATTCTTGAACATTTTTCACCATACACTTCTAAATTAGAAGCACAAGTTAATTCACGTAGTACCTCATTTATATCAAAGTGAGGTTTATCCAAGAATGTTGAGATCTGGTTGTCGTCTTTCATTGAATTGTTGTTCGACCAATCAGGTACATGTGTTGGAGATTTACTTCCATCTTCTTGTTTATGTTATACAAAAATAATTGAGTTTTGTAACATTGGTTAACTTGTATGTGTGAATGTATTCTCGTAATTTATCATTGTTGTGCTTAACCTAACATGGTGCTCCAGATTGAGGATTGCTTTTGTTGACTGCATCCATGACTTGTTTAAAATTTTCCAGTATAAACAAGCGCAACTCCTTGAACTCATTAGTAACCTGATTATTAAATAAAGTGTAAGAATATATCGGAATATAATGTAAACTAAAAAAAATGGAACAACTTCCTTACAGAATCCTTGAAAGAGGCAAGATCTTGTCTCAGCACACCAATTTCGCATGTCTTGGTATCTTGAGGTTGTTTCGAACTCATTGGTGGTGTAGTGTTGGCAGAATCATTCGGCTGATTATGCAACTCCTGTACTGGTACATTATTCTCCACGGGGGTTGAAACAGAACTAAAGGGTGTACTCTTTGCCTTACGGTAACCATGCAATACTGGTGGACTTTTCTCCTTACAACTCGAACCTGCATGCATATTGAACTTTTTGATCGATGTGGACAATGAAACAGTTACCTTCTGTTTACCTTTTTCTTTATTGTGTGGCTTATGACTTGGAGGCTTTGAAGTGAAATCATCATTTTCGTCATCATCTTTGTCACCAACATTTTGAAAGGTATTCTCGGGGATTGCATCACTTTTTTATGGAAGCTGATAAAATGCAATCTCCTTTAGTGAAGGTTGAATGTTTTTGTATTTTAACTGTGCACAAAACAATTATAATTAACAAGTATATTGATAGACAACGATATTTGTACTAATTGAATAATGAAAATATGTTAAATTACTGAATTGTCGTTATCGCCGAACATTTCTTCCATTAGGAATTTCATAATGTATTCTGCTGTTTCTGGTCCTCCAATTGACCAGTCTGGAAATACGATTGGTCTTCTTTTCAGCAATATTAAGATCAACAACAGAACAACATTCATATATCCAAACTTGCATGGCAAGAGGCATACCATCAATTCTATAATACTTTTTCTTGGCATCCATTTTTTTTGTTATGCTTTTGACCAATTTGGAGAAAACATCTTTTCCCCAGAGGTATTCATTGTACCGGCTGCTCTCAACTAGATCAAATTGTATCCTTAGAATTGATGAGCTCTTCTTCTCACCGGAATAGATGAACGTACTGATAAAATATAGAATTGCGAATTTAATAGCATCGTCATCATTCCCATCACCCCATACCTTGTTTTTATACTTACTGATCAACTTTGCTTTTTTTATAATACTTTTACCCTCAAAGTACTGATTGATTAATCTGTTTGGCTCGCTTGTGTCAAACAAGAAATCGTCTTTATCAGCAAAGCAGTTCTACCTAGTAATGATGGCAAATTCTTGAATACCAAAACAGAGTGTGCTATGATTTATACGAAAGAACAGTTCATCCGGGGAACTGTCCTCCTATTCACATACCATCAAACACCTAAAGATTTGTGGTTGCGCCCCACACACATGCATTTTGGTATATGCTCCAAAACATGTATCTTTAAATCGACTGAATTGGGTCGGTGTAAGCTTCCCCTTCAAATTTGTAACTATGTTGTGGTTCACATAAACCTGCATGCGCGGGGGTTCGATTGGGCGAGCCAACATATAAAATTTGATACCCTGTAATTAAGAAATACTAAAATATGAAACTGCACTTTTTTTTTACATTAAAAACTTCATAGTAACCTGATTCTATGCATACATACAGGACAACACATTCAAATAGAAGATGCACCGACACAAAATAAATTTGATACAAATAACAATTTGAAAAGTATCCACATATTCAGTAAACTACCATTTAACTACAATCATTTACAAAAAACAAAATGACAACATAACCCCAAATACACTAGAAGGTATTCAATGTGTAAGAGTATGCCACACTAA